TGGGGTGTGTGGTTGGAGCTGTGGGTGGTGCAGCGCAAGCCATCCATGGTCCCTCTGTAGGCGCAGGCGTCCTGTGGCTTGCCACAGTGACAGGCAAATCCGAAACCGGATGCCGCCAACCATATATATATATATATATATATATATATATATATATATATATACATATATATATATATATATATATGGTTGGCTTTATCCGGTTTCTGATTTGCCTGTCACTGTGGCAAGCCACAGGACGCCTGCGCCTACAGAGGGACCATGGATGGCTTGCGCTGCACCACCCACAGCTCCATCCACATACCCTATATCCAGTGTAAAATCGAAGGAATAAGATCGGGAGACATGCGGATGGGAACCACGTTTCATCAACGGAGCCGGCCCACACACTTACACAGGCAAACACAAGCACGCTGTGTTTGGGGAATCAAGCGCACACAAGGCGGTGGCTGGACCGTAGTCCGCTCCACACTGACTGCATGGAACCACTCTTTGATCCTAACACGGCCACAAGGACCGTGCACCCTGTCCCCTCCAGCAACGACCAACTGTCTTGTGGAGCCAGTATGGACGAGGTAGTGGGTAATAGACAGGTAGGCACCTTGTCAACATGCACATCAAGCGCAACCACACCTGAGATGTCAAGCAACAGCCAATCATTCGAAATGCCGATATCGAATAAAGTAAACGCATATGACGACATAAATACTCATTTAATGAACATATGGAAGAAATTGGTTATAACTGAATCCGTGATAAGTACAAAATGTCCGAAAGTTAGTTAAAAAATACCACGCGATAAAATTACGCAAGTTTATCACAATTTGCGTGAAGGACGTGTGCAAGTAAGGAGAAGATTATCAAGTACGCAGAACAAACCAAATAACAGGTAATGAATTTTATCCACATTAAAAAGACCTAATTGAAGTGTAAGTTGGTTTAGCCCAACTGCGGTGAAGAAGCAGCATGAATGCAACATCAGCCTCACATACATACATATGAAGTCCGTCCGGAACACGTCTTCCCAGCGTTTGAATCACGCTTCGAATGTGCATCCAGAATTCGCGTCATAATTGAATTCAGTGATTGCATTCGTGAGAAGATCAACAGAACTCGCCTGCATGTCCCGCGTCGCTGCTCCTGTTGTCTGCAAACTCAAGCATTGTGTCAGATTTTCGATCACTTTCATTTGTGCTTCCATTTGAGCTTGTTGTTGGATAAGCAGCTTGTGAAATTGTCCAGCAGATAAATTCACCACATTTCCAATTTTCGCCGTCGCCATTTGTTACAATCTTCTCACTAGACGTGATTCCGAAATTAACACTTTACTGCTCCACAAAATTTCTAGCCCAACTGGAGAAGAAAGCAGAATGCCAATGACTTTGACAAAATAACGTATTAATCGCCGTCAACAAACACTGTACAACTACTGCGGATCTTGGCTGTATTTATAGGTCTCTTGCTGACCATCGACTTCTAGAATTGTAAGGTCAGCCACCAAGGTTAGTGGTTCCCCATATCTTTTGCCGAGGTGTCAGGTGGTTTTTAGTCACGTGCAGAACTAGAACATTCCGGCAAGTTTGAAATCGATGCGATAATTGTTAATAATCGATCAGAAGCTAAAATAGTGGATTCCCTAGGCAATTCTTACTTTCTCCCGTAAAATTCAAAAGCCTGCTGAACTCACTGGAATCAGAAGTGTTTGTGGCGTTACTGTGAAAAGAAGTCAACCGTGAAAGATATGCAGCATTATATCGAGAGGCTGCATTCATGTGTGCGGTGAACATGGCAACGGGTGAAAAGGTCATCGTCAAAAGTCATTAACAAAACCCAAATAGTAGAATGCAAAACTGAATAACACAATGGTGGTATTATTCTGATCATGCCCGATTTGGTGTGCCTCAATGAATTTGAGGATAAACTATTTACTTATTTAGAGGTGGGTCTGAGATCTCAATGTAAGAAAATCCAGAATTAAAGCAAAGGTTGTGCAGCGGGCTACCGTGAACAGCGCTATGATAGTGGATGGGGAAAAAAGCCAGACAAAATGGTAAAATTCATATTAACTGCGTGGAAACAAACGTTATCGGTGTGGTTGGTCGCCTACAGTGAAACAGAGAAAACCGATCGAACAAACACATACTCCAAATGGAGGAAAATTGAGAACAAAAACAAGTGTGAGGTGGAATCGATTTTAAATTTACCCGAGTTATCAGGGGACAGTGCCATAATGCAGTATCGTTTTTTCCACTTCTTCCCATATATACATACACATGTATATATATATATATATATATATATATATATATATATATATATATATATGTATAATGCTCGGTGTTTGATTGAGATATTCTGCTAAAGTTGTTTACCATTGTTTCGCAAAATAAGTTAGTGCGCTTGTTCAAAATAGCTATTAAGATGATGATATCTGATACCCACAAGATTGTTATTGATGCTGACAACACGCCAACTTGATAACATGTGCGAGCATTTGATGCTTCAACTGTAGACGAAATTGCAATCGGTATAGTGGGAGATTAATTCTAGCGGAGATATTGGTTTTGATGGGAGAAACAATCAGGTGGTAAACGTTGCCGGAGCTTATTGATGCTACGGTGCTCTGCTGTATCTTATCATTTTTGGGATGTTGCTGATGGATACCACTTCAACGTCAAAATGATAAATATAGTCAGTGGCGAAGATACACTTAAGAAAGGCGGCGAAATGAACTATTATTCATACTGATTAATGAATCGAGAGAATGAAGACAATCAGATTTTGAAAGGTCTGCAATGGTTTCATCAATACATTGTTGGTATGTACGCAAAAATAGAAACGTTTGTTATTCATCCGCATGAAACAGACGAAAGTTCGCTCTGAAGAATATGTCCCTTTGAGAGATGCAGTTGTGAATGACGACAATGTGGCTGACGTATGGAGACTCGCAATTTTGCCATCTTCATTTACAGGCAGTCCGGGTCATCTGCATGAGTACATTTAGCATGCGATTGCGTGTTCCTCATTACGGGAGTCCCGACCTATTCATTAATTTCACATGCAATCCAACTTGGGACGATGTACAACAGCTCTTACTCCCTGGGCAGTCGTAGGTCGATAGGCATGACAACACAGCAGGTGTTCAGAAGGAAACTGAAATACTGATGAAGTACTTGATAAAACACGAGGCATTTGGGTTGGTACGTCGTTGAATGTATTCAGTGGAATGGTAAAAGAAAGAACTGCCACGCGCACATATACTAATATGGCTATATGACAACATCTCTTCCAACGAAATCAACGATGGAATAGGCGCTGAAATAATCGATCCTGAAGTAGATAAGGAATTGTATGAAGTTGTGACGAAAAATATGATACATGGATCCTATGGTTCACTGAATCCAAACTCGCCATGTATGATAGACAGAAGATGCTCAAAGCGATATCCTCAAGTATTGTTATCCAACACGGTTGCAGGAAACGACGGATATTTCTTATAAAGAAGACGATCAGCAGAAGACGGCGGCAACGTATTCACTATAGAAATGCGAAATCGATAACTTTACGACCAAAGACGTACAAGGCGCACATAAACGTGGAACACTGCAACTCCGTCAAATACATAGATAAGTAGGTGAACAACAGCGACATAGCAGCTTTTGGCCTGGAACCAAACATAAGTGACATGAACACAGGTATATATATAAATGAAGTCGATTAGTATCAGGTTGGAAGATACATAAGCGCCAATGAAGCTGTACGGCGCATTCTTTCATTTCCGACAAATGGACGAAGTCAGCTGTCGTTCATCTAGAGAACGGATAACGCATTTATTTCACAGCTGCAAATTTTCATCAAATGGCCCTGAATCCACCGGCAACAACCCCAACTGCTTTCTTCAGGTTATGTCAACATGACGCGTTTGCGAAACAACTGCTGTATTCTGATGTACTTACGTATTACATTTGGAATGTGAGTAGAAAGTCATTTGAAGGATGAGGAGTGCGGGTCGACGGACGACCTGACAACTTCAAGGAACTGTCATAGGCAGACTGTACACCGTGCATCCGAATTAAGGTGAATGCTTTTTTTGTTCCCATATTGTTGGTCAATGTGCCTGGTACTACCTCTTTCTAGCAATTATGAATTCGCAACGGGGTTACACGTGCCACTTTCCACAGTGCATGTCAAGCTCTAAATTTATTGGAAGAGGACCGACACTTGGATTTGTATTAATGACGCATGTAACACGCCACATGAGGTACCTATATATGTCGAGCTTTGAGATTAAACTTACGTGTTTCAAATGATCATGAAAGGTCGAAATCGAGAAATTTGATCTCTCAGCGACCTTACGAATTGTCATTCGTCGGTTCACATCAATTGGTCTTTTTATTCTGTCTTCATCAGCTTCAACTAGATTTTCAGAATGTGGTACATCTTCAAAGTCAAAATTGCTGGAGCAAAATTTTACAAACCAGTTTTGCCTTTTATCCATACACTACTGATAACATTTTCTTGGATATGCCGCATTTTTACCTTGCTGACAGTAAAAAAGGAAAAGACATCACTTCCCATATTTGAAAAGGCACCAAGCAAAAACTTCTGCGTTGAATCAATCTAACTTTCCCACAAGCAAGTCTTGCTATATCCCCTGTAAAAATATATAATGAGTATGCGGCTAAAATGTGAAGCTGGCTGTGAAAAAAATAAATACAAACGAAAAGCAAACAATTATATATATATATATATATATATATATATATCGATGGGAGCGCATGTTTGAAAACTACAAACAAAGGGGCCTAGGCCATATCAAAAATATAAGGAGTGTTAGTGTAAGGAGACCGCTATGTTGAACGAGAATACAGGTAGGTGAATGTTGGGTGTTGTTCGTCCGAAGACAATGCAGATAAAGAAGTGCACACGAGAAGCATTCTTGGCTCAGTAGTATTTGAATGTTTACAGACTTCCAATACGATCTGAATAAAGCAACTCACTCAGTGGGTTGAAGACCAGGTGATGGATAGGGGTGCGTGTGCCAATATTGCCGCTCCTTTCGTACACAGAACTGATAGTGTGTCTACCGGAATTCAGCCCGCAGGAATCAGTGACAGCTAAGTGTCCATTGTCATCTAGCGCCTCATTCGGGACCGGTTGAGGAGGCGCGAAGTGAAGTTCCTCGATGTCTTCTTGAACCCGAACATACTCGCCCCCAGCATCATCCTCGTCATCCAGTGGGTTTACCAGTGTGGAATTTAACCTAGCCATCGAGCTGCCAACAGCCTCGATGTCTGACGCAGGTTTCTGTTCCTCATCCCCCCCATCATCAGTATCATTTTCTTCATCACTCCCATCGCAATGACGTAACCATTCCTGATCAACGATACTGTCAGGGTTATGCGAAATGAAGGCTGCTTTCTCTATTTGGGGCTGAGATCCATTGGCGGCAATGAAAGCAGCGCAGCTACGCGGTAATCGATAGTGGCCGGGACGACAGAGGGTTTGAAATTGCGTTTCGTCCTGTGAACCCTAGTGACAGAGGCAATGAACCGAAAGGCAATGTGTGTGGAGGAAAGGGGAAACTGAACGGACCCTGTTGGTCAAGGCAAAATAAGAACCAAGTAAGTTAACCAATGCCTGAGAGCATGAGAAAAATAAAAACAATGAGAACAATCCGTATAGCTTAATCACAGATAACTGTGACTGTTCACCTAGTGATATCATTCAAGCCTAGGAGAAACAGCCAACCGGAAGTGGCGCGGAAAATCGGTATAGACAACTAAGAACGGAGCCGCGCATTTAGATGGTCTGCTCCTGGTAAAAGTTAAATAAAGGGGATTAGTGTACGAGAGATGTTAATGGGAAACATTGGTTTGGTAAACGGTGCACAGCTGCCGACAAAACCCTCAAACATGTTAGGCACAACGGAAGTTCGTGGATTGAGACTGCAATTCTTTGAAACCCTTGAGGACAATCATCAGATACACGGATAGTACCTCAGAAGTGTAACAGCAAAACCAAAGTGCGCTTATTCAGCGTTTGGATTCACAGTTAACGGCAAAACAATCTCGCAGAGCCGGCGCAACAACGCCATTCAGCGTTTGCAACTAGGTCAAAATGCAGTTTGTCCATAAAGCAAATAAGTCAACAAAAGCAATATGATGCTATAACTATTCCGAGAGTAATGAGGATAGTTCCATATGCTTGTGGGTGTGGTTGAGGCGTGCAAAACGCACCGAATGGTATATATATATATATATATATATATATATATATATATCCAGTGTAAACCCGAAGGAATAAGACCGGGAGGCACGTGGATGGGAGCAACGTTTCATCAACGGAGCCGGCCCACACTCCTTCACAGGCAAACCCATGCATGCTGCGTTTGGAAATCAACTGCACACAAGGCGGTGGCTGGACCGTAGTCCGCTCCACACTGAGTGCATGGAACCACTCTTTGATCCTAACACGGCCACAAAGACCGTGCACTCCGTCCCCTTCAGCAACGACCAACTGTCTCCTAGAGCCAGTATGGACGAGGTAGTGGGTAATAGACAGGTAGGCACCTTGTCAACATGCACATCAAGCGCAGCCACACCGGGGATATCAAGCAACAGTCAAACACTTAAAACGACAAGATGAAAGAAAATAAATCGGATAATACATACAGACAGCGACATAAATCTGCGTTATATGGGAACATAAAAATTGATTACAAACGTATCCGTGACAAGTTCAACAGGTCAGAAAAATATATTTTAAGGAAACGCCACAGAGGCGAAAATGTTATCGAAATTTAGTACAATTAGCTTCAGCGACGTGTGCAGGTTGATAGAAGATAGCACAAGTAGACATTAATTAGGGAGAGCAATGGGACAAAATTGCAAACACACCACCTGAAATAAAGAGAACTAGCAAGCAAGCACGCCGTTAGTTAATCGAATGCAGCGTACCTACAAACGCTGCGCCGGTTCTGCCTACGTTCTCAACAGCACCCGTCGTCGCTTAGTTGATGGTCCCGAGTGGCCTCGCTCATGGTTCACTAGGCCTGCTGGACTCAGGCACCCGCGACCGCATGTGCTACAGCACCATGCGCTCAATGTCGATGGACCTTGTCGCTTCTTCCCTACATGAATGAGGTCTTTCTCCCGCACTTCGGCGAGTGACTTCCTGATCAGATCGCGTCATGAATGCAGATAAACCGCCTTTGATTTCGATGACCTGCAATCAAGATAAGAACGTGAGAGGCTCACTTTCATCATGTCCTCTTAAAGTAAGCTCGGTTGTCCCATGTGCCGCTTCCCTGCACTCAGTGGACCGTATGACAGCTGCTTCGGTATCCGCGTCGAATGCATATGCCGCACATGACCGAACCAACTCCAGTGTCTCCGAAATAGTATGCAGTACACTGCATACAGTCCACTACGGCGCAACACTTCCGTGTCAGCAACGCTGTCGCCCCAACTGATGCGCAAAATTCGTCGCAGACACTGCTGATGGAACCGCTCGAGATATCGCACATCCCGATGGTACATCGTCCACGTTTCACTGCCGTATAGAAGAACGGACAACACCATGGATTTGTGCACCATCAGCTTCGTGCCAATGATAAGCTGATGGTTGTTCCACACTCGGTACTCTAGCTTCCCGAATGCCGTTGCTGCCTTCGACACGCGGATACGCAGCTCACTGTGTATCTGCTGGTTAGTGGACATCACACTCCCAAGGTAGCAGAAGTGGGAGGTGGTTTCCAATATTTCCGCACCAATGCTGATTCGCGGCAATATTGAAGACTGCACCTCCGGTGAAGGCTGAAAGAGACAGACAGTTTTGCTTGTGTTGATGGTGAGCCCGAATTTGGCCGCTGTCGAAGCCAGAGCACTAGTCATGTGCTACAACTCATTCGCGCTGTGTGCAAACAATGTACATTCGTCAGCAAACAGCAACATACGGATAGTTGTCTCACAGACTAGAGTTCTCGCACCGAAACGACGGATGTTTAGCAACCCGCCATCAGTGCGGTAATCCACACGTACACCGTGAGCACAATCAGCATCATTGCATGAAGATATATAGTAAACAAGACAGGAGCTAAGACACAGCCTTGCTTCACACCAGTGACAACTGCAAAGTCATCCGAGGTCTCTCCACTCAGCTGCACCCTCGCTCGCATACCACTGTGCGAACATTCAATTAAACTTAAGAGGGCAACCAGACTTACCCAACACCAGCCACAATGCCTAGCGGTTCACCGTATCCAAGGCTTTGGTGAAATCAACAAAAAGCGAGTACAATGGCTGGTGTCGTTCTCTGCACTTCTCCTGCAACTGACGAGCCGCAAATACCATATCTATGGTGCTGCGACCAGAACGGAATCCACATAGCTCTTCCGCCACGTTCGGTTCCACAATCTGACGGATGAGGCGGTTGAGCAGAATTCGGGCAATCACGTTAATCACACAACTCAAGAAGCTGTTGCAAGGATAACTCGTGCAACATTGCTTGCAACCTTTGACCTTGTACAGTGGTAGCACAAGAACATGCTTCAGTTCAGGATGCCTCTGCTCAATCGACACGCATCGCACCAAGTGGTGCAGTGCATTTGCATCATCTGGTTCCGCGACTTCGTTCAACTTCAACAGTCCGATCTCACGTTCGACTTCTGAGCAAGAGGGTGGATCCAAAGGGACAGCCCACGGAGCAGGGCGGTCACTGGCCGGCGAAGAATCGAACAATTCTAGCCAATTAAATTGCTTTTCAAAATGGTCAGCCCAATGCTCCAAACGTTTTGACAAATGGTGAATAGGCTGTCCACTCTCATCACAAATTGTTTCACTAACACCAGGTCTCCTGCTGCCCGTTGCCCGTATCAGACGGAATAACTTACGATGGTTGCCAGGGGCAGCGGCCACTTCCATCTCTGACGCACGATGAGACCACCAAGATTCGCGGTCTCTCTTCAGGCTAGCGCAGAGTTTTGCCCGGAGCTCTTTGCGAGTTTCACTGTGCTCGCTTCCAGCCGAAATATGCCGGCGAGCGTCGATAAGTTCCAGAGACCGAGAAGAGACCCAATGTCCCTGTTGACTATTAGACATACCACATGAGGATTTGCTCGCTGCTAGTAAGGTCTGGCGAACATGTGATCAGTGACCATCAATTGTCTCCAGTGAGCGATTACTCAGCTCGCATGTCAGCGTACTTCGATACGCTTACAGAACAGCTAGCTTTGTCAGTTGGCTGGTGTCAACGCGCTCACAGCGTCGTCGTGGACGTCCGCCAAAGCGCATCCGCACGTCAGCACATACAAGTGCATGATCGGTGTCCACACATGTGCTCCAAACCGAGCGACAATTCTGGATGCAGCCTCTCCAGCGGTGACTAATAGCAATGTGATCGATCTGCGTCCAAGGCTGGTGGGCGCCAAGTCACCCTCCGGCGGGTGCTGTGTCGGAAATTAGTGCTCGCAAGAAATAAGCAAGCATCTTCACACAAATGAAGTAACCGCTCACCGTTATCATTACGGGAGCCTACACTGTGCTGACCGCCCAGATGCATTTCATCAGTGGAAAACTTTCCAACTTATGCGTTCATATCCCCCCCAGCACAACAGTGTCCGTGCTTCTTCTGTGGCGAAGGAGCTGAGTCAGTTGGCGGTAGAAGTCGTTCTTTACCGAATCATCGCTACAGTTTGTTGGTGCGTAGGCAGCGATGATGAACAGAGACCTATCAGTCCCGCGCGACTTCGAAGCTTTAAACGAGCCAGCCAATCGGACCGCACACATCCGGCTACTGATTGGAATCCAATCAACCAGAACAGCTTCAGCCCGGGGGCTCAGGGCAATGCCAACACCAGATTGGCCGGTGCTCGAAGCTGCATCGTCACCGGATAGGCGCACTGCGAAAAAACTGTTTGCGTCACCTGAAAGGGATCGGAGAGTGAGTACAGAGCTCGAGTCTTGCAGGCGGGTCTCTGATAAGCAGCAGATATCGATCGAGAGGGTCTCTAATGTTCGGGCAAGTGCTGCCTGTTGACCGATCTGTAGTAGTGTGTGTACATTAAAGCATGCCAATCTGAAGGAGGATCGAGGGCTTCAAATGGAAGCCGATGAACTGGAATGGACCGCTTGGTTGGACATGGGCTTGTCGACAGGAGAGGAGTGACGCTCCGCGTTCACATGTGATTTGAAAGTAGAAGATAAATGCCTAGCAAAGCATGTTGGGGGAGGGCCAAGAATCGGGGGTTGAAAACTGGGGTGATATAAGTGAAGTTGGAAGGGGACGGTAAGAGTGAAAAAGCGTGAGATGGGGAATAAGAAGACGGGAAGGCTTGAGCAGTAACATCCAAACCCCTATCCACCCTGCTCGATGCAGCAGATAGGGCACCGTTGATTGTCCTCTGCGGTGGCCAGAGCATCAGCAATTTGTTTGAGGTAAGATTCATGGTATTGCGTCGGCAGGATACTGTTAGGTTGCCCCGGGCCTAGACAGGAGAACCATTAGGGTTCTCAACCAAGGCCTTTGGTTCAAAAACCTGACCGCAAAGCAACGGGTTTGGCGTTGGGCTACAAGGAGTCCGTTTTAAGGAATAAGGTGCCAGCCTCATTCCAACCCACAACTTGGAGGACCAGGAGGCTGAGTCTGGCTGGCCTCTAACCATTGACCAATCTGGTATGAGTGACTCTGAAGGTGCAAAAGCACCACCCAGCATAGCTCAATGGATCGCTGAGGCACACAAACTATCGCACCACGGTAAGGTCCAGCCTCATTGCGATGGCAGTGAAACTTCATGTGCCAAGGTACCGCACCGGGACAAGAGAGAAATTTTTCCTGACAGTTTATCTCAAATTATGGAACAAATTGCCGGAAAAGAGTAGGCAAACTAAACTGCTCAAGATGTTTAGGAGAGAAATACAGGTGTGTCCCATTATAAACAATATGCTGAATGCAATGAAGGAGCAAATGTAGTATTCGAAAGCAAGTGTAAAATCTAGGATAATCACTTTAGGTCGTTTAATTATTATTTGCTCGGGCATGCCGACTTTGAAGCCTCTATGTCTAAATAGAATTTGAAGAGGGAAACAAACCGAGCTGTGATTTTCATTCAATAATCATTTTTCTCTTCTACGCACATGTAGACGTTAGCAATAATAAGCCATGTCTAACTTGTGACTCTCATGTACCCATAGAAACCCAGAGGAGTAAACAAACCAAGCTCATCACTCACCTTACTTCTGTTACAAACTTTACTAGGCCTCGATAAATGGAAGGAGAAAATATCATAAGTAATTATTGGAGTATCAACAATCGGCCCCAGTATTTTATTTCCTAAAGCACCCTCGTGGTTCTCTTTCTATCTATTATTATCTTATTATCAATGATGACATTCTAGCGCCACGTGCAGAATGTTATTTGTCGACTTATGCGCATTAATAAAAAACAACCGATCGTTTGATGAATTGGACAAACACTGGCACTACCGGGAAATAGAATTTTAATACATATTAATTTATTGACCGTACACCAGACTAATAAAAGTGTTGGAACTCACCGCCTCTGAAGAATGTGGATCCGAAGTTAGGGTCATATGGTTGTCAGAGCCCATCATATGGCCAACAGGCGAGCAGTTACTGAGCTGCTTATCGCCAACGAGCGTTTGTTCGGCGGTGCATCCGGGCGATCTGTGGGTTGCATTGCCAGTGCCGTCACTGCTGCTGTGCGAGCTAACGCCGCCGATGGATAAACTCGTCGCATCACTAGCAGAACTGGACAGGTGGTCGAAGTCACAAGCAATGGCATCCCCGTCATTGATTCTATTTTCCCTATTTTCCGGAGCGGAGTTCATACTTGAAACAGCAGGGCTACATGATCCAAAACCATAAGCGTGGAAACTAGACTGAGTGGACGAGGCAAGATTGCATGTGTCCAGGCGGTCCTCTTCCTTCCGTTCCATATTCGCTTCTACTGGCAAATGGCTTGAGTCCGTTTCGTCGGATCTAGTCGGAGCGCGATCATGATTTACCACAAAGGTGGTTGCAGCCGCCGCGATCAGACTACTCGATCGGTCCAAATCGTAAACGGAAGAATGTGCGCTATCCGGATGAAATATGCATTCACCACGGCTTGCATACACAAGCATGGATTCAGCATCCTCCGTCAATCGGTCCGGGGTGCTTGCGGAATCGGCGAGTGACTGAATCAACTCCTCGAGGGCCGATATCTCACTGAGCATACTAACCTGACACTCCTGCATGAAGAAAGTAGTATTAGAAAAATATAACGCAGAAATTATTTCTCGGTTTAAAACTAAAAAGAACATCGCAAAACACGAACCATTAACTCCTAATTAGTCGTTTGAATGGGCAGCAAAAGAAGTAAACAACTGTGGAGACATTAGTAGCATGCCAAGTACGCAGTACCGATGCTTCGCCGACGCGCAACCATCAACAGTCGAGCGTGAGCTAAAGATATTGCGAAAGTCGCCTGGTCCCCCTCGCAGACTTGAATCCGCGACTTCAGGATCACGAGGCAGGTTTGTGATCCTTCAGGCAACGAGTCGGCTTGAAACAACCGTAGTGTAGGATGAAGTCAAGAACCAGTTTCACCTGATAAACGAACACAGGACTATCATCCCATAAGGTATAACACATCTGACTCAAAGGCACCACAACCGTTTGGGTGGGGACGAACCGTCTTTATAGGTCAAATGATTCATGTGGCGTCCGGCGGTTATTACCAACGAGGTAGACCCCTAGGAAATAAAAATTGCACAAGTCCACATGTCACCACCAGCGCGAAATAGACCAATAGGCACTACGTTGCAGAGTAGTGGTGTTTGAAAACTCGGCACCGATGAATAGTCGTTTGACTGTAGTCCGCTACACAATATCGATCGAGGTAAAACGACATAAGAATGTCACCGGAGGTAACAACTGCCGAGAAACAAACCGGCTAATCTACACGGCATGGTCATCGGACCGACTGTAAGACGGGATAAACGAATGCGTAAGAGCAAACAAGGATTATCGTTTGCTCCAGGACGACAACCCCAGGGCATTAGTGATACTCGCTGCAGTCCAGCGAGACGCCCTAGCAAAGGGAAGGTCATTTGGCAGGAATGGCGCCTACTCGTCATCGAACTCACCTTGATTTAACAATCAGCCAGAACGCTTTGAAGCAATTAGTCGTCGACCATCCACACTACGGTAGTTCATAAAAACTAAGGAATAAAATATCCACTTTGATGATGCAGAAGCATCAGGCTTGTCAGAATATATTATGAGTGGTCACAATGCGTGTGCCAACAAGAAATCACGCCCAGTCGTGGCAGCACTGGAGGTCTGACACGCAATGAAAATCCAAGCGATAAACAACAGCGATACGCATGACAGACAAGCCTCGGTTCACAAAGGAACGTGACGAATACATCCGTCAGTCAAAGTGGTCATTGACATGTGCTACGAAAAATCCCACAGATCGACTGAGGAGACGGGCTTCAAGTGGTCCAAAGCAATGGAACAAAGAAATTGTGGTATTTTTATGTGGGCCAAAACAGGTTGACAACCCAAAGTGATGTTTACATGGTCCCAATTTATGGACGAGTGAGGCAAAGTGCATTCAGAAAACGACATGTTGGTCCTCAATTGTTATGTGCTCACGAACCCAACTGGATACAATTGAACCGTGAGTAAGATATCTCAGACTGATATGAACAAAGTAGGAAAAAGTCAGTAGGAAAATGACAACGCAATAAACAGAAAAAAAGTATTTGTTCGACTTAGTCAATGAATTGCTCGGTTTTGTACCGAAATATATCAAGATCGAGGATTCTGATGTGGAGATTTGTGGCTCGGCTCAAGTATTTCTTGGGTGCAATTTTCCTTTCATGGGAAATCAAAGGAAGTGATTGTAATGATATATTCGCCAGAGAATAAAAATGTTCAGAATAGTTTCGCGAAGGATGAAGCAATGGATGCTCCAGTTCCCTCCTCTTGTCATTTACGTAACTGGAAAACACGCTCAGCACAAGCTACACTACTCAGCAGCATCGGACAATTTCCCACAACAAATAACTTCAGTTGCATTAGGATGCATGAAGTCATCATCTTTTGGGACTTCTGTGGTTTCCATGTCATCTTCACTTAGTTATTCATCATTAGCAGTTTCTTGTTTATTCCCGTAAGGGTGTACCGCACTCAGTATCTCCTTGAAAATAGCGTTTGGGTTTGGCCCAGCGCAGGTTACCAAGTCACCGTCAATTCCAACAATCTTGAAAATCAATACGTTCGAATTCTGTCGCGGGAGATGGAATGAATAATAAAGCAACAGCATCCTACTGAAGAATTTGAACAGATTCAGCTTTCGTGAAGCAGTTTTGCGTTGTTTCTGGTAGAACTTTGCCAGGCGTAATTTATCCAAAGCACAGTATCTAAGGCATTAGCTGATGCAGTTCATTATCATACCTCTCCAATTACATAGTTGTGCCGTTGGATGTTGCTAACCGTTACATGCTAACATGTAAATATTCTGTCGTCTTTCTTTGGATGCTGCTTTCCAGGAAATGACGTAAACATCAATGTCGCCATAATCCAAGGATCTAATGTGGGGTGTTTAACAGGTTAGCTTAGAACCGGTTACTCGACGAACATTTATTTTCGGTAAAGGCATGTATGGCTCAATAAATGGGCAGTATAGACATCTGCCAAGGTGGAACGAGTGCCCCGACATAATATTAAGCAAAGGGCTCAATAAAAGCTAGGGGAACTCAGCCAAGGACCGAACGCCCAGTACGCGTAAGTGTTTGTGTTGTTATAGTGATTGTGTTTGGTAGATTGCACCTCGCATATAAACATCATATACCCGTATGGTTCCTCGGATGATGGGAAGGAACAAATCGGAAATATCCAAGGTCGAGAGTCCCAATGACAACAGGTGTTTGCTGACGCGTGTCTGTTTAGAAACACTGCGACGTGTCGGATGTGACTCACCAATAAATAATGTCACTGCCACTTGCTTCACCTCGACGGGGCATATTACTCCAGCAAGTGTGCTAATATCATGGTGAGGATTAGGCTCCCGCTTGCTAACCGAACAAACAAAAGACGTATGAAGTGCATATTCAGTCATGGTGCGATTCCCTGTATTCGCTCCGCTGCCTTGCGTGTAGGTTATTTAGCCAAAAGCTCAGGATGGTGTCCTGTAAGACAACTCCCTAGTTCGGCTTGGAAAACAGCGTAGTATAACACCACCTGACAAAACCATGGATGCTCAACTGCTACACCACGCTCAGCTGCGTTTGCTTCCGCTAATCATACACTTTCACATGCCGCCTGGTCATTTGTTACCACTCACTGTTGCCCATTACCAGATGATTCCTGTTTTCATGATTCTACTCCCAATGGTTTCGTCGATGCCTATAGAGCTCGTTTGGTGGCCCTCCTTCGAACTCGGTCCGCGTTCCTTCTGGAATGCTTCAATGTACGTACGCTCATGCAGATCGGGCAGCAGACTGGCCTTGCGCGCACCTTGAAAGCACTCGCCATGAATGTTTGGTGTCTATCCGAACCGCGTTTGCAGATACTAGTACTGTGATTGAGTTGAGACTTCCCACCGATAACGGAGCCATATTTCACCTAGGTCTATCTAGTGACACAGAAGCAGCTGCGGTAAGCTTGGCTGGAGTCGGTGTAGCGCTAAGTAGCAAAGCCGAGGTCGTACTGCTGGACTGGTTTACCGATTAATAGTCAACTGTGTGTAGTACGACTTCGGAGATAATGCAGGATCAACAGATATCGTGAGCAGAGACGAAACTTGTTTGTGGTCTCAGCTTACGCCGCAACTGACTGCAGCTGCGACTGGGTCAAGGACGACTTCTACCGTGAACTTCAGCTCTTGATCAGACCCCGCAGATCCGTTATTGTTGTACTTGTTAGGGATGTCAACGCACGAGTCGGTCGTTTATTATCATGTGAAAGTCACATTAGTAGTCACCATGTACTCGATGAGAGCCATTATCATCTAAAATCTGACAGAAATAAAAGGTGCCTTTTCCCTGGGGGGATTTTTAAGTAGGGTGATCACAATTCACGTGCCGATTACCGGGGCATTAGCCTTAATTCGGTTGTCTTCAAGCTATTGGCATAAATATTAATCTGTAGCCTATCTCGCATTTATGAAGCGCAGGAACGGGAAGCACAAGTTGGCTTCCGTCCTTGCCGCGGTTGTACAGATCAAATATTTACGTTCTACCATAAGTTGAAACACCACAACCTTGACTGAGGCTTACCATCGTAGCCTTCTTAGACATCCGTGCTGCACTCGAGTCGGTTGGCCGACCTAAGCTATTATGTAGATTGCTAAAGAAAGGGGTCCCAGAAAAGTGCACTGTTAGTCTACGCGCACTGAGCGTCCACAACTGCGGTAGAGGGTCTTTGGTAGGCTTTCGTCGTCTTTCGCTCTCAATAAAGCAAGACAGGGTCGCCATATGTTCCCTTTCCTCTACAATTTTGCGACTGAAGACATCCTGTTGACATCTCTAGAAGGTTACCAAAATTTTGGTCTACAGCTACTGCCGAGTAAGCGAGCGACCGACTTAGATTATGCCGATGATATCGCCTCACCTGGTGACGACTAACAGAGCATGCAAACAATTCTAGACTGAGGCATCTAGGTACGGAGTGTGCTTTGCCCGTCAAAGTGTAAAGTGCTGCTTCTGGATTGACACTCGTCCGTTCCTGTGCTCACTCTTGAAGGTACACAGCTTGAACAAGTGGATAGCTCTATCTACCTGAGAAATTGCGTCTGCTAATGGTAATATTAAAAAGGTTTCCCCACACCACCGAAGCTCGGTCGGCGTTTGTCAACTAGAAACATTTCTGGTGCTGTCAGAATCTATTTATTGGGAGTCGTGCCTACAATGCCACCGTTAGGGTGATGTTGCTACATGGAAGCACGTCGTGTCCACTTCGCGTGGATGACATGCGCCAGGTCTCGGTCTTCGACAATGGGTGCTTGAAGGGGACTGCTCGTGTGTGGTGAAAAGAACGTATTTGCGAGAGTGAAGTCAAACGTCGTGCTTTAGAGAATGTGAGAATGCAATTCAACGAGCTGGTTGTGCTCTGTCCGTTAAGATGGCTCGAGCACGTCCTGCGTATGTCAGCTGAGCATTTGCCCCACTGTGCCCTTTTCGCTCGTGCACGATTTGGTTGTAAGAGACCAAGAGGTGGTCAGCCACCCACCTGGTGACAG